CCTCAGTACCAAAAAGATAAATAAATAAGTAAGTAAGTAAGTAAATAAATAAATAAATAAAGTGGTGACATATACCTGTAATCCCAGGACTTGAGAGGTTAAGGCAGGAGGACTGTTTGAGTCCAATAGCGTGAACAACACAAGGTGGTACTGTTTCAAAAAATAAAAACAAATAAATAAAAAGTAAAAAGATCTGCTCTCTAAAAGTCACAGATGCAAAAATGAAAAGGTAAAATACAGGCTGGAGAAAATATTCACAGCACACGTATCTGTTGAAAGGCTTGAATATAGAATATATAAATAGATCCTTTATTTATTCATTCTTTCATTTTTGGCAGTCCTGGGGATTGACCCCAGGTGATATGGCTTCCCCACTGAGTTGCACTCCTAGATCTTTTTATTTTATTTTGAGACACTAAGTTGTCCAGGCTGGCCTCTAGTTTGTTATCCTCATAACTTCATAGGAGAATAAAAATAAATGGCTGATAAGAACATGAAAAAAATGCTCAATATTTTAGTTCTCAGGAAAATGCAATTAAAATCTTAACCAAATAACACTCAAACACCTGGAAAAGCTGAAGTTGAAAAAGACCAACTGGGGATGTGGCTCAAGAGGTAGCGCGCTCGCCTGGCATGCGTGCGGCCCGGGTTCAATCCTCAGCACCACATACAAACAAAGATGTTGTGTCCGCCGAGAACTAAATAAATAAATAAATATTGAGAAATTCTCTCTCTCTCCTCTAAAAAAAAAACAAAAACAAAAAACAAAGATCGTATACAAACTTTCTTAACAACTTTATACATAATAGTGAAAGTTTGGCAACAATCCAAATGTCCATACAGGTTAAAAGATACACAATTTACTTTATAATCGTACTAAGGGATTCTATACAGCAATAAACATTAAGGCATGCAATAGCATGTACGAACTAACTAAAAGCAATCTGGTAACAGAAGGCAGATCACTAGTTTCCTGGGAATAGGTGGAAGTAGAGAGAGTTAACTAAGAGGGGCACAAGGAAACTTTTGAGTGATAGATGTTCTTTTTACCTTTCCTTTTTTTTTTTTTTTGGTCCTGGTGATTGAACTCAGGGCACTTAACCACTGGGCCACATCTCCCAACACATTTTTATTTATTTATTTATTTATCTATTTTTGTGGTGCTGGGGATTGAACCAGGACCTTGTGCACTCTACTAATTGAGCTATATCCCCAGCACCACATTTTATTTTTTAGTTTTATTTTATTTATTTATTTATTTTTATGGTTCTGGGGATTGAACCCAGGGCCTTGTGCATGAAGGCAAGCCCTCTACCAACTGAGCTATATCCCTAGCCCCTTTATTTTTTACTTTAAGACAGTGCCTCACTAAATTGCTGAGGCAGATTTCAAGCTTGCAATCCTGCCTCAGTCTCCCAAATTGCTGGGATTACAGATTCGTATCTTAATTGTACTGGTGGTTACACAGGTACACACATTCAGTACCACTCATGGGACTGTACACTCTTTTTTTTTAATAGAGAAAAGAGAGAGAGAGAGAGATTTTTGGTTTTCGGCGGACACAACATCTTTGTTGGTATGTGGTGCTGAGGATTGAACCTGGGCCGCACGCATGCCAGTCGAGTGCGCTACTGCTTGAGCCACATCCCCAGTCAGGGACTGTACACTTAAAATGGTGCACCCTATTGATTATAGATTTTACATCCATAAGGTTATTTGTCCCAAATTACTTGGGATACATGAACAAATACAATGTGGAGACATTGTTTAGAACTATGTATGGATGTATATATGAATATCATAAAAATTTGAATACTGATTGGGTATTTGCTGATTTTTAAAAATCTCTGATCATTATTTTGTGATTAAATTAACAGGGAAAGAAGACTTTCTCTTTTGGAGAAGTATTTGTGGATGAAGTGACATAACATGGGATTTATTTTCTAAGAATTTAAAGTATGGGGCAGTGGTGGAGGTTTAGAAGAAACAAATTTGGCCAAATATGGATAATTACTGAAGTTGGGTTATAGTTATATTGGGGTTTATTATACTGTATTGTTATCATAACTTTATTATTATAATAATGAATTATTGTTACAATTATTTTATAATTATGTCTGCTTTTGTAAATGTTGGAAATAGTACATAATTTAAAAAATCATAAAGAACTTAAGAATTGGGCTGGGGATGTGGCTCAAGCGGTAGCGCGCTCGCCTGGCATGCGTGCGGCCCAGGTTCAATCCTCAGCACCACATACCAACAAAGATGTTGTGTCTGCCAAAAACTAAAAAATAAATATTAAAATTCTCTCTCTCTCTCTCAAAAAAAAAAAAAAAAAAAAGAACTTAAGAATTCAACCAAATTCAATGTGTCATCCAACTAAACTGAACAAACCCACAATAGAAAGATATTTGCAGGACCCAACCTAGTGGCACATGCTTATAATCCAGGCAACTCAGGAGGCCAGGGCAGGAGGATCACAAGTTTGAGACTAGTCTGGGAAATTTAGCAAAATTTTGTTTAAAAAAGGGTTGGGGCTGGGTATATATCTCAGTTAACAGAGTGCTTGCCTTGCATGCACAAGGCCCTGGGTTCAATCCCCAGTACCAAAAAAAAAAAAAAAAAAAAAAGGTTGGAGATATAGCTCAGTGGTAAAGTGCTCCTGGATTCAATCTCCAGTTCAGAAAAAAAAAAAAAAATCTTGAATAATGTTTAGACACAAAGACATTTAGAGAAGTGTCAATGAACTGGAAATTTCTATTGGATATAAGTGTTACATTGTTCAAATATAACTTTAATAATAATTTTCAATATTAACATGTAAGAGTAATATATAGGAGCAAGAATGGTTACAGAATAATTTGAACAAGTAACTTGTATAATTAAGAACAGAAATTTTGCTGATGGATATATTAGGAAGGAAGAGGAGAAAAGGAGGAAGTAGTTAGAAAGAATGTCTATACTGGATTTGCATAAGTGTTACCTACATTACTGACTGAAGCCTGGGAGAATCAAGCAAGGATATCCCATGGAGGTCACAGTAGGCAGTAGCATAGTCCATTAGTCCTTCTGTCTCAACCATGCCTAGCAGCTTAAACTTGTTAACCTTTTAACCTTTTTTTTTTTTGTACCAGGAATTGGCTCCAGGAGTACTTAACCATTGAGCCAATTCCCCAGCCTTTTTTTGTATTTTATTTAGAGACAGGGTTTTGCTAAATTGCTTAGGGTCTCGCTAAATTACTGAGGCTGGCTTTGAACTCTCAATCCTCCCGCCTCAGCCTCCCAAACTTCTGGGATTACATGTACATGCGCTACCACACCCGGCTCTAGTTAACATTTTAAGTCTTTTTGTTACCCAAGTCTATAGTTGTAGGAATGAGGAAGAGAGGGAAGATGATGCTGGAGTCAGTTTGGATCGAGTTGTGCAGGGCCTTAAGTTTCTCTCTTTTTTAATAAGACTGCATTCTCATTATAGGTTATCTCTAACCTGCAATGTTTCAATTTAAGATTTTTCAAACTTATCATGGTGYAGAAGCCATTTGTACTCATTAGAAACCTTACTTCAGGCACTCCTACAACTATGTTTTTCAGTTTCAGTACAGTATTTAATAAATCACATGAGATACCCAACATTTTATTATAATATTGGCTTTGTTAGATGATTTTACCCAACTGCAGGCTAATGTGTTTTGAAGACATTTATTGTAGGTTGGGCCAAGGTATGATGTTTGATGAATTAACTGCGTTTCAGTTATGATATTTTCAACTTATGATGGGTTTATTGGGATGCAACCTCATCATGCATCAAGGAGCATCTGTATGAGACTGAAATCTATAGCCCAGTAATAGTAAGCAAGAGCTTTGCCCTGACTGAGCTTTACTTTCACTCCCCACCACCTAACGGAACCACTACCCACAACTTGTGGCATATATTTCCATTTTTTCAGTTCGTAATTCATAGTTGACCTTCGAGTCTCAAATCAGAAGAAAACAGTCCAAACCCCTCAGTGGTTCTCTGGGTTGCCCAGTACCTTGTGTTTAGCTATTTGCCATTTGTTGGTCTCATTAGATTGTAATCTCCACATGGCCAACGCTGAGTTACTAAATATTGTCCTGGTGCTTGGTCATCTCTGCCAGGGAGGAGACTGGGTGTTAACTGAGGGTGGCTGSAAGAAGGTGTCAGGTCGCCTAGATAAAATGCAGGCCTTTCTCAGCCGGTTCATATCTAAATGCAATGAAGGCGCTCAGGCTGGTCACACAAACTGATAGTAGGAGTTGAAGACCCCTCAAATGAGAAATGCCCAAGTAATGCACTAAAGCAATATGGCCAAGTTGGAGTTGCATGAAAAGATGCATGGAAGCCTTTCTCAGGCTTATTTCCCTCCTCTACAGAGAAGGGCCATTTATAGAGTTCATAATATTGGCGCCATTTTGGTTGAAGTCACTTGCGAGGGCCGTGGAGGTCTGGCAGGTGCGGTGTTGCACGCCTGTAATCCCCCCCTCGCTTGCAGCAAACCGGAGGATCGCAAATTCGAGATTTGAGTAATTTAGTGAGAACCTCTCTATGCAAACTAGCAAAATAAAATAAAAAGGGCTGGGGGTGTAGCTCAGTGCTTGCCTAGCCTGCACCAGACCCTGCGTTCAACCCCCGGCGCTGCAAAAACAAACACACAAACTTTTGCAGAATTAATTATTAGTAACGTCAGCTCAGATTCCACCCTCTTGGAGGCCCGGACTCTCCTCCTGTCGCGGCAGTGTGCGCTGTTTGGCCGCTTTGTCCACTCCACTTGGCCCGGAGACCGGCAGGATCTGTTTTGATCCTGGTGTCCTGGAAACGAGCGGAGGCTGCCCGACGGCGTTCTCCGTCCCGGCAGTCGCGCCCCTCAGGCCGCGCGCTGTGCTGTGCCGCCCTCCTGTGGCAGCTGCAAGGCGGTCTCCCCGTCGTCCTGCGGGCACCCTCCCTCGGCCGGTGACATCACCGCATTCCCGTTCCCAGCTCCTCCCGCCGCGGCGCCTGCAGCGGCAGTGACAGGCGAGCCCCGCCCGGTGGCGGAGAGGAAGTGCGGGGCCGCCGCGCCGAGCCCGTCTCCGCGCAGGCCGGCTCCCCCGGGCGGCTGGGTGACAGTGTCGCGGCCGCCGGGCACAGCGCGGGGCAAGCGCCGGGCAGCCGAGAGCCAGGCGGAGGCTTCAGCAGAGACGCCGGGAAAATGGCTGATGACTTTGGCTTCTTCTCGTCGTCGGAGAGCGGGGCCCCTGAGGCGACTGAGGAGGACCCAGCGGCTGCCTTCCTGGCCCAGCAGGAGAGCGAGATCGCCGGCATAGAGAATGACGAGGGCTTCGGGGCACCTGCCGGCAGTCAGGTGGCCTCCGCGCAGCCGGGACCCGCGAGTGGGGGTGAGTCAGCGCAGTGGCCTGGGAGCTGGGGGCCTTGAACCTGTCACCCGGGGACCGTGGTCCAGGCCYTTCACAAACCCGGCCAAGGAGTCTTGGGGAGAGTGACGAGGATCTGGATAGGCCAGCCAAAAGCAGGCCGGGGGCTGTGTGCGTTTGCGAGCAGAGGGCCTGGGGAACTAGGGAGCAATCTTGGAGATTCACCTCTAGGATCTCTGAGCTGGGGAATGAGAGGAGGCCTCTCCTGGGACTGGGATCTGCTGACTCTGGGGACAGGAATTCGCTCATGACATTTTATTCCAAGGCCAACTTCACCACTGCTTGGCTCTGGAATTCATTGCCTGCCCAGTTCTAAGAGTCCCTCTTGAGTCCTCTAATAGCCTGAGTGATCCAGGCTCCCAGTTAAGTGGTGCAGGTGTGGGCAGAATGCAGACCTGCTGTTCCCTAGCCTTAGCTTTCACACAGCTGGCAAAACAGGGAATAATGGGGGCTCTGAGAAATCACAAATCTTCCCTGGGGACCACACATCTTCCCTTGGCCACTGAGCTAGGCATGTTAATTACATTTAAGAATTCCATACACATTATTGAACCCATTTCAGAGCCAGCAAAACTAAGGCTCTAAAGGTACACTATTAGCTGGGCACGGTCACATACACCTGTAATCCTGGTGGCTGAGACAGGAGAATCATTAAGTTCAAGGCAAGCCTAGGCAATTTAGCAAGACCCTGCCTCAAAATAAAAAATAAAAAGCCTAGGGATATATACCTCAGTGGTTCATTCCCCAGTAACAACAATAACAACAACAACAAAAAAAAAAAAAAAAAGAAGGAGAGAAACAAAGCTATTGAAACAACTAGTAAGGGTAAATCAAGGACTAAACCCATCTCTGTCAGACGCTAAACCCCTCCCTCTGACCACACTGTCTTCCAAGTGCCTGGCTCTGCAAAAAACTCTTGAGGTTGGGCCAGGGGCACAAAGGGGCATCAGTCAGAAGTGTTCCTGCCCCTCAGGGGTTTCTGTCCACCTAATGATTTTCCAAAGGTGGTCCAGGGCTATTGTAGTTGACTTCAGAACTCAGGATTCATAGCCTGGTCCCTGCGATATCATATTTATCAACAATGTTCCTACTCTAATTCTGGACCCCCCCMAAAAAAAACCAATTTCTTAAAATAGTTAGTAAAAAAGTAGATATCACCTTCACGAGTACATCCCATACAGATTTTGCTTCCTATTATTGTCATTTTGGAGATATTTATTTATTTACAAAGCTCTTCAACAGTCCTGTTTGTTTTCATTCAACATGGGTTGAGTACCTACTTAATATGCCAAGCCCCACTGGGAATACAGAAATGAGTAAGACAGTTCCTGTGGCTGAGTAGTTGAAGCGACTCTGTATCCGCTTGATATGAGAAATATAACAAGCTTTTTGTAACATACAAGAAACTGGAAGCAGCCAGACAGGGTCTCACCAGACTGTAATCCCAGCTACTAGGGAGGCTGAGGCAAGGAGGATCACAGTTTGAGGCCAGCCTCGGCAACTTAACAAGACTCTGTCTCAAAATAAAAAATGAACAGGGTTAGGTATATAACTCAGTGGCAGAGTGCTTGTCCAACATATATGAGGTCCTGGGTTCAATCCCCAACATGGGTAGAGGGTGAAGAAGAAAGAAAAACTGGAGGCTCAGAGAGTCTGAGTATCTTGCCCAGTCACAGAGCATGAGTGATAGATCTGGGATTTGATTCCAGGCCTCCCAGCTCTGAGTTTCTGTTCTTTTTTGTTTCATGTTCTTTCAAATGCTGTGGGAAGCCTTTGGATGTGGGGGAGGAGGCAGGTGTCTTTTGCTACCCGAGCCCAGCCAGCAGTAGAGGTCTTCTGAAACAGTGGCTCCTAGCCCCTCAGCATGGACCCTACCCTGTCCCAGGGGATTCCTCAGAAATGCCTGCCCAAGTTCATGCAATGGTATTCATTTGTTCACACTTCCTCCTTGAGACCAGCCCATTCCCTAATGTAGGTTGGTTCCAAGAGGCCTCATGTTATCAGAACCCCATGAGAGAAAAGGGCAGGTAGAATTTCAGCTGAGGGTCATCAGAAGGGACTGGAAGTTGTGGCTTGTCCCAGATGGGACTCCTGGGTTTTATAGCCTGGTGGCTATAAAACCTGTGGTGGCTATAAAACCTGTCACCTGTGGCTGACACGGTGGGGCCACAGATTGGCCTCAGACCAGAGATGACAGGGAGAGGAACAGCAATGTGCTCTCCTCTTCCAGGCGGCTGCCAGGGACACAGCCCTCTGAGCATCTCCCAAACTCAAACCTGCTGAGGCTACAAATGCTCAGCTGCCCACTTGAGTGGTGATCTCGGGAGCAAGGAGGTGTTGCCTGATGGTGGCTCAGTGGGTGGCCAGACATAAATAGAACTGATCTGACCCTTCTAAGACAGGCAGCAGTGAACAGGCCATCTTCCCCTGATTAACGCTGGAGGGGGCTGAGAAAATGGGCCTTGYCCTGTTGAGAATTGGGCAGAAGCTGGCTCCAACCACAATCAGTAGTCACCCTCTCTTAAATGACGGATCCTTTGATTGGCAGTCCCTATGCTGAGTGTCCTGATGTTGTGCTCCCAGAGGCTCCTGGGGAACAAGGGGAAAGAGGTATCTGGTGTAGGGCTGAGCCTGAGCCATAGGATCTTCTCCCCAGGCTGGATCTGTGACCAGCCTGAGTGATAGACACTTTGTTTCCATTCCTCAGCCTTGGGCAGGGCCCAGAGGTTTACATTTTCACACCCAGTTTTCTGGGCGGCAGGCCTGGCTGTGACTTGCCCATCGGTTCTGGGCAAGCCCATTTCCCCTTCTGGGCCTCAGTAAGCTCACAGGAATGTTCTGGACCCTCTCTAAACTTGTTCCAAAAATGGGCCAGGCATCTGAGGGAGTTTATCCCTGGGACTTGGATATGCTTTACTCCTGTTATGCTGGGCTCTGATTGCAGACCCATGATAATAAATGTGCAATAATCAGAGAGCATTGTGGGAATAGATACTGGCAATGCTCTGTGTGGGTGGGTGTGGATTCTCAAAGAGGCTGAAAACACATCTCCAGAGGGACATTCACAAGACTGAGAGCCTGGGGCAGAGAGAATTTCCAGAGGCCAAGGTGGGTACCAGGCAGCTACCTGCAGATGAAAGGTCTAAATGAGCTGGTCAGGGTGGAGGATGGGGGGGCAACTTTTCCAAAAAGCTGTTAAGTACAGGCCTGCATCATTGTGAATGGACCCTGGCAATGTCGGGCCCTGGTAGAGGAGGTGCCCCGGGAGAAGCATCTTTGCAGAAGATGCTGCCTCTGAAACTTCACTGGTCTCATGCTGATTTGCAGAAGAAATCCTATCTGAATATGTGGCAGTGACAGCTGACTCATAGGTCGGGTCAAAATCAATCACTGCTTGATTCAGTAAAGTCAATTATAATTCATATCAACCCAGGATTATGGCCATGGGCTTAAGTATCTCAGTCCTCAGGCTGAAAGCACGATTGCTTCTGCTCACAGCCCGATTTGGTATACAGGGTTATTTGTCCATCTGTAGTAACCTCCTGCACCCTCGTATGGCACTTTGCTAGGAAGTATTGCAGTTTCTGAGAGGCCTTGCACATTATAGTAGACCGCTAAAGAGCAATTCAATTTTCATTTAGCCAGTAGTTACTGCTTGCCTATTTTAATCAGGAGTCCTTAGAGCTGATAGGCTACATTCTGGAAAGGGAGTACCCAGATTCAGGGGGTTACAAGTAATTGCACAACAGAGTGGGGGATGCTATGCAATATTCTGGCATACCCTAGAGGTAAGATCTTTCTCTCAGTGCCGAGGGAAGCAAGGTAGTAGGCGAGAGCTTCCTGGAAGAGGTGACTTGTAAACTGGACTTTGGAGAAGGAATGGATCTAAACAAAGGGTTCTTTAGGAAGTGAGTCAGGATAAAATGGCAGAGCCAGATTGTMAAGCTCCTCATGAACTGTATTCCAGGGTTAAATGTATTTATTTACCAATTATTTATTGAATCCCTGTTGTGCACTGTTCCAGATATTGGGCCCTATTGAGGATAAAACAAAGTCCCTGTCCTCATGAAGGGTCCTTTCAAGTGGCAGAGACAGAAAATAAACACATATACGAGTGAACTTATCAGGCTATATTTGCTCTAAAGCAAATACCACTGGAGAAGTTGGTGCCTGAGGGCTGAATGAGATGTGATCAGGGAAGCCATGTGTTTAAAGGCCACTTTTGAGCAGAGACAGGGGAGTGAGGGAGAAGCCCATGTGGAATATGTAGGAAAGGCTTCTAGGCCAAAGGAACAGTACCTGCAAAGTCCCCAAAGCAGGAGCAGACTCTTTAGGCCCCTGTGGTCCGGGGAAGTGGATTTCTTCTTGGTTTAATCCCATTATCTTTTACTCAGAGGAGGGACATAAACAAGTCTATGTTTTTCAAAATATCCACCCTGGCAATGAGTTTGAAAGAGGGATGGGAGAGGGTAAAGCTGGAGTTAGGGAAGCCAGTGAATGAACAAAAGCCACACATTCATTCTGTCTTTTAAAAAGAAGGGGGAAAAGAAAAAAAAAGAAAAGAGAGAGAGGGCTGGAGATGTAACTCTGCTGTAAAGCACTTGCCTAGCATGCTCAAGTTCCTAAGTTCAATACCCAGCACTGAAAACAAACAAAAAAAGTAATTCATTTATTTATTCAACAACCAATTATTGACTCTTACAAAGGTGCAAATCCCATGTGTGGCTCTGGGGAAGACGAAGGTAAGGAGAGAAWGAGACAGTTATACTTTACCAGGTGTTTGCCACTAGCAGGGCAGACAGACCAAACCAGATGTGTAGGAGGGAGATGGTGAAGTCCCTGGCTCAGGGAATCAGTGGGAACACAAATTTGAGGGTCACTGTTCCAGCAAAAGCTGCAGGAATTTGTGACTAATTGGATGTCACAAAAGACTGGGAGGGGTCACTGCAGAAGGCAAAATAAAATTCTTCTGGAAGAGGCGTAGAGAGAAAAAATAGGCCAGGTGCTGCGCAGTAGGGACTGTGATTCCTGCTCTTCCAGGTAGAGCAGTTCCTCAAGGTTCCCCAGGACAGGCGTATGAGTAGCTTCCTCTCTTCCTTGCCCCTGGTAGCTCCCGCCCTAAGGTGCTCCTCTCAGCGCCCACTCAGCAGGCATGGGCTCCACACACAATCAGACCATTGCCACACAACTGTTGGTCAAGTAACTCCAGGTGGGTGAGGAGGCATTATTGTCTGGGTGATATTGGCTAATCATGTAGCCTCTCTGAGCCTGTGCTTGAGAATCTGTAAAATGGATGGTTAACCACTTCATTGTAGGGTGAGGTGAGGGATTGAGCCATAGTTATTTGGGTATCTATTATGTTTACCTGTATGGGGTCCACATATAGAGAGATTGGCTCCCAGCGCTAAGGTGGAGCCATTGTATGCTTGCTCTAAGCTGAACAATGAGTGATACTGTCTGCTTGTTCTCTTTCTAGCTGGTTCTGAAGACATGGGGACTACTGTTAATGGAGACGTGTTTCAGGTAAGCAAGATTCTGTCTTGCAGTGGGGACTGATAGCCCAGGGCCCAGTGACTCATGACACCATCATTGGTAGGCTCCTTGTTCTGTTCATTATGTCTGATTCATTGGATTGGGAATGTAGAGAAAGGTTTTGAAATGTTTTCTTGTTATGAAGTGGGAGGGGGTAAAGAATAAGGACCTGTAGAGACAGGGATTGATGAGGATTAGCTTTGGGTTGACCATGATGATATTCAGCTTTAGGAGGGAGAGAAAAAGTGGCCCACAGTTGCATGTAATGAAGGGAGTACAGGACCCTGCCTCAGTACATTCCACTGGGGGGAGGCAGAACTGAGTGGCCATCACCCACACATGTAAGCACTTTAACTAGACAGATCCTTTGAACCAGAGATTCCACTTCTTGGAATCTTTCCTAAGCAAATAATTGGAGAAAGACATCCAGATTCTTGTGTTTTGTTTATTTGTTGTTTCTACATTCCAAATCTTTGCAGGATTATTTATAATGGCAGACAAACTGGAAACAACCTCAGTGCCCATCATCAGGGCCTTAGATAGAGAGATTGAAAGGCCAACCATTGTTACAAAGGGCAATCAGAATTTCTCATATTGTGGACATACAAAGATACCCATGATATATAACTGAAAAAAGGCAGCTTGTAGAATATTATGCACAGTACAGTCCTGTTTTTTATTTTAAAATGTTCAAGCCAAATATCCGAAAGGATATGTACCAATTATTAACAATGGTTGGCCCTGAGAATAGGGTTGGGCGTTGGGGTATGGGGCCTGGGACCCAGGGGAATAAGAAAAGGGCACTCATTTTCACTGTATTTAAAAAACAAAAAATCTTTTGCTGGRCGCCTTGCCTGCCTGTAATCCCAGCAGCTCTGGAGGCTGAGATAGGAGGATCACAAGTTCAAAGCCAGCCTCAGCAACAGCAACAAGGTGCTAAGCAACTCAGTGAGACCCTGTCTCTAAATAAAATACAAAATAGGGCTGGGGATGTGGCAGTGGTCAAGTGCCCTTGAATTCAGTCCCCAGTATCCCCTCCCCCCAAGCAATTTTTTTTTTCAGTGATCCTATACCACAAAAGGGGAGGGGAAATCTGTAAAGAGATTTTTAGGGACTGGGAATGTACCTCAATGGTAGAACATTTGCCTAGCATGTGTGAGGTCCTAGGTTCCATCCCCAACCTTGCAAAACAAACAACAAAATGAGATTGCTTCTCCCTGCATCCTCCTAAATCCCTCCCCTCACATACCCACAAATCGGTTTAGCAGAATTTAGACTGAACTATTCGTGAGACCGAGGCAGGAGGATTACAAATTTGAGGCCAGCCTGGACAATTTAGCAAGACTCTGTCTCAAGAAAAGGCTGGGGTGTAATGCAATGTATAGTGTCCCAGGACCACAAAATAAGAGAGAGAGAGAGAGAAAGAGAAAGAAAGAATACTTACTCTGATAGGACCCACAGTACAGTGGCATTCCTAGAACCCCACAGATGCACAGTCCTTACCCTGCAACCCCGCCTCATGCCTGGCTGGGGCTATGCCTCCACTGAATGTGCCTTAATTCTCACGCACATTGGGTCAAAGCCCCTTGATCCCTGTGACTGCCACTGAGCTGAGACTCCTGAGCCCCGCCCCGTGGAGGAGCTGGCCTCCTGAATCCTCTGGGAGAACAAACAATACTTTCTTATGTAAGTGGGATGGGCTGGTACCTTACACAGGGAAACTAGCCAAGTTCTGTTTCTGGAAAATTACTCAACTCTCAGCAAGCTAGAAAAGTCAGTCTCTGGGTCTTTAGCAGCTTCATGTCCAGTTGAGGCTGACAGAGCAAACAATGACCATTTCCTCCCTCAGTTTGTTAGATCTTTGAAACTTAGATCATCAGCCTCTAGGCACACTTAAAAGGACTTTGAAGTAGTCCTGGACCTGGAGATAAGCTTAAAAATACCTAGAATACTATGAGCAGCTAGAATATTATGAGCAAGGAAATTTTAGTTTTCAATCAATTAAGAACTTGAGGCTCAGAGAGGTGAAGTGAGTTCTGCAAAATCACACAGGAAATCAGCCAATTTTGGAGTTTTCCTCATTTGGTTGATTTAGCTCCCCTGCTTTCTCCCTCCCTAGTCCTACTTTGCAAGTTTTGGTGGATCTGAGGAACCCTGGGGCTCCTTCCCAATCTCATGATAGTTATTCTCACTGCTAGTAATAATGACCTCAGGCATGTTGATCTGTAAATCATTTCACATCGGTGCAATCCTAGAATCCTTTCAGGCAGGGGAGAGTCCCAGGTGAGATGAGTCACTCAGAAACTTAATGACAAAATTCCAACTTGCTTCAACTCATCTACATTTTTTTTTTTTTTTTTGTATTGGAGATTGAACCCGGGGTGCTTTGCCACTGAGCTATAGCTCCAGCTCTTTTTATTTATTTACTCATTTATTATTATTACTACTACTACTACTACTACTACTACTACTACCAGGGATTAAACTCAGGGGTGTTCTACCACTGAGCCACATTTCAGCCCTATTTTGTGTTTTATTTAGAGACAGAGTCTCACTGAGCTGCTTAGCGCCTTGGCTCTGTTGCTGAGGCTGGCTTTGAACTCACGATTCTTCCGTCTCAGTCTCCAGAACTGCTGGGATTACAGGTGTGCGCCACTGCACCTGGCGCTTTTTATTTTTTATTTTGAGACGGGGTCTTGCTAAGTTGCTGTGAGGTCTCACAACTCGAATTTGTGATCCTTTTGCCTCAGACTCTCAAATTGCTGGGATTATAGTATGCACCACCATGCCCTGTTCACATACATCTTCTGATCCTTGATTGATACACTTTGTACTCTACTACCCCTCTGTTCCTGGAACTGGCCAGTCACAGTCACTAGATTACAAGTGGTAAGCCCTGGAAAATTCTTTAGGATTGAAAATATCAGTATCTGGTCTGCCCTTTCAGAGGACATGCCTGGGCCTGTGTAACTTTAAAAAGCATTTAAGAGTCTTGGGTAGCTCGATATAATGGTGCATGTCTGTGATCCCTGCTACTTGGTAGGCTGAGGCAGGAGGATCACAAGTTTAAGGCCAGCCTCAGCAACTTAGTGAGACCCTGTCTCAAAATAAAAAGAACTGGGGATGTAATTCAGGGGGGAAAAAAAAGTTCTATCAGCCTCCTAGAGTTGCTGGAATCACAAACTTGCACCATAGTACCCAGTCTGGGCAGAGATTTTGTGCTTTAATCTTTTGTGGTCTAGGGATAAACATGCTTATACCTATTTCAGTTCCATTTGGCGTCACTAGGAATAGGTACAAGGACAGAAAGTGCCTACAGGACTCTCCCCCTTTCCACCCTCCTGCAAAAATTCTCTCTCCATTTCTCTACCACACATTACCATTATCCTCCTTTGAGCTCTTTAGAGGAATCAGCAGCTCAGTTTAGCTTAGCTTTAGCTGGTCAGGATTTTTTTTTTTTAACCAGGGATTGAACCCAAGGGCACTTATCCACTGAGCCACATCCCCAGTCCTTTTTATTTTGAGACAGGTTCTAGCTAATTTGCTTAGGGCCTCATTAAATTGCTGAAGCTGGCTTTGAATTTGCAGTTCTCCTGTCTCAGCCTCCCAAACTGCTGGGATTAAAGGCTTGTGCCACTACACCTGGCTTATTTTGTCAGTTATTTTTGTAGGTTTTTTTTGTTTGCTTGTTTTGTTTTGTTTTGTTTTTGTATCAGGGATTGAACTCAGGGGGCACTCAATCACTGAGCCACATGCCCAGCCCTATTTTGTATTTTATTTAGAGACAGGGTCTCACTGAGTTGCTTAGAGCCTTGCCACTGTTGCTGAGGTTGGCTTTGAACTTGTGATCCTCTTGTCTCAGCCTCCAGAGCTGCTGGGATTACAGGCATGTACCATTGTGCCCGGTTTAGCTTATCAGTTCTGAAGATGGATATGCCTTATCCTCCAGTCCTTCCCTGGAGTCACAGCATACACTTGACCTCCATGGTCCACAGAGGCTCTCAAGGCAGTGCCCAGCAAAGGAATCCCTCAGGAGAGGGGTGCCAAGAAGCTGGGCTCAGACAACGTGGTCCTGACTGTTGCCTTCTAGTCCTAATCATCCCTGACTCCTTTCCTCTCTGGGACTTTGGAGGAGCTCAGAGTCTTTCTGTAGTTACTAGTGACCAATGAGCTGACAAGCTTCTTGGCAATGACCTTATTATTTTCCACCTGGAGTGCCCAAATGATTAAGGAAAAGTCCAGTTGTGGCCCCAAAACTCACTGGTAAGGGGAAAGGCAGGGAAATGAATCTAGAGCAGCCCAGAAAATAAGAACTGGGAAACTGCTTCTCAGGACTCTGTGCTCTTCCTGATCATGGTGCAATGAGGACTAGCATGTGTGGAGCCCTTGTCACATTGCAACARTGGACTACAATAACTATGTGATCCTTTATTGGCACCTTTATGGACTACAGGATGTTTCCATGTCAGTCATTTCATGGGATCCTCATTTTTGCACCTTGAGTGGGATTTTGTTAATCTCATGTAACAGGTTTAAAATCCAAATTACCCAGGAAAGGGACTTTATCAATAGTGATGCACCAGTGAGTGGCAGAGAGAGACTTAAAGCCCAGTCCCTCTGATGCGATTTCAATGCTTCCTTGCACCCTCCACATCACTTTTACAATCAGTAACTTGTCCATTCACTTGATTAACTCACATTCTTTGAGTGCAACACCCTGTGCTGCTGGGGTGGTAGGTAGATGTAGGCGCAAATCCAGTGTGGGGTTTGTCCTCAAATAATTAGTTTCTAGAGCCAGATACAGTGGAATGCACCTATAGTCTCAGCTACTTAATTGCTTGAGCCCAGGACTTTGGGATAGTCTGGGCAACATATCAAGACCCCATCTAAAAAGAGAGAGAGAGAGAGAGAGAGAGAGAGAGAGAGAGAGAAGAGAGGGAACTAGTAGTTTGAATTCTTCCTATGGGTCAGGCACCATCCAAGAGCTTTGC